CCCCTGAGCGCTGGCCATGATATCCTGTTTTAGGTTGGCTCCTTTCTCTTGCAGGGTCTTATGGAGTGCTTTTGTGTGCTAGTAAGCTGTGTGTGTCTCAAAAAGGCAAGACATAGCCGTCCCCCCATGCCCCCTCTCCTTTCTCCCTCCTGCCTCCTCTAAGCTAGTAGATGGACGGCTGCTGGAGTCTGTTCTGTCCCTTGTGGTCTTGTACTGGACAGGAAGGTCAAGGAAACATAACAAGGGGAATTTATCAAGGCAATTGCAACAGTTTTAGCCTCTTAGATCATTTTTTATGTGCAAATCTGTCTTTTAACATGTGCCCCTATTTTGACCTGAGCTTGCACTACTTTTCCAACTGCATGTGTTTTGCGCCTGTTTTGACCTGAGCTTGCACTATTTTTCCAACTGCATGTGTTTTGCGCCTGTTTTCATCTGCACTTGTTCTGCGGCTGTCTGAAACTGGAGCATCACCTAACAAAACAATCACAACTTAAGAAGTCATAACCTAATTTATTAAGACCATTACACTAGCAACATAAATCTGGTGCAAAGTGCGTCAAATATATTCCATGCAAGTTCAAATACTCGCAATTGCTATGATAAATTCCCCCCAATAACTATAAGGTTTCAATTTTCCCTTGCCACTTGCATTTTTATGTAGAGATCTGTCTGCAAAATTTGTCAGACTAGATGCTTTGTTTATGCTTCTACAGTAGAAACTTAAAATGACATGTGTTTACGTGCGTTTACAAGTCTGCCTTTAGATGCACCTATCCTTTGTCCATTGAAACAGTTCACAGAAGTAGTCAATGAGATGTCAGCAGATAAACACTTCTTGCACTTACATGCGTTTACACGTGTTTTGGTGTGTTTACAGCCAGTGTCACTAAAGCCAACCGAAGATCCTGTGCAAACATCTTTATGTACAAAGTATGTGGGAAAAGAACACGCCCTGCCACACACCCTGTTATGTGCACCACTAAGAATTAACACACAAAAATTGGATGCTAAAACCTAAGTTTTTTTTTCTCACCACTCCTTTTCCTTTATACTATTTTTTCAAAATAAAGTACTATAGAGGTTACATAACATGTTTAGTGCAATATAACATTTTTGAGAGTTAAAAAGTGTGTTTAATAGAGGTATATTTATACTACTTAGTAGTATTACAGTAGAACTGAAGGGGTGCTGTATGGGCTATTCACAATAGCCCGTACAGCTCCCGATCATGGCCGAGCGGCTCAGCCGAGCTGAACGCATATGCATCGGCTCGGCATGCAGCTTCGTGAATAGACCCCTAAGAGTCTTGCCCCTGTAAACTGCATTAGTAAGGGTCCGGTCACACCTAAGCTTAGCATTAAATACACAATAACTGCAAATGAATGGCAACACAACACACCCAGCGCAAGGTAATGCCCATGTAAATGGTCCCCTAGACCTCATTTGGAATATGTAGTTCAGTTTTGGGCACCAACAAATGATGTTGGGGAACTGGAGAGAATGCAGAGATGGACAGCTGTACTGATACAAGGCATGGAGGAGCTCAGCTATGAGGAAAGGTTAACTGACCTGAATTTGTTCTTTCTTGAGAAGAGCAATTCAAGGGGCATATGATCTGGTCCATATAGTGAACTTGGTGGACAAGGGGCACTCTTTGCATCTGAAGGAAAGGAGGTTTAACCTTCACATATGGAAAGGTTTCTTCATAGTAACAGCTATGAAAATGTGGAATGGGTTTCCTTAAAAACGAGTTTTAGCCAGATTAGTTAATTGTATTAAAAAATCAGTATGCATTCCTAATTGCAACCAGTATTACTGGATATTAAAGTGACACTTAAATCCTAAAAAAGTACCTTAACTGATAACAATACTGAACCTTATCACTCAGCTGCAGATCCTCAAATCCTCTCTGAATTGGTGCTGACACTGTCCTTCTTTCTGGAGGGTGGCTACTTTTGTTCCCCATGGTCCCTATGTGTGTGTTAAAGTAGCCACCGCTCCAAGCTCGCTTCTTTACCCCCTATGTGATAACAATAAAGTTAAGTGTAAAAAAAAGTTTTAAAAAATGAAAGTTACAAAAGCATAGTCACATATAAAAAAAAAAAAATGTTAAACACAAAAAAATTGTAAAGTCCCCATGCACACACTCAAACATGCGTCGGGTACGCCTATGTGTGAAATCAATGATTGCGCCCATTGCGCCACACATGTTACATGTCACAGCGAACGTCGGAGCGTGAGCAATAATTCTAGGGCCATCAGTCACTGCTAACACTAAACTGATAATCAGTAAAAGCTTTTAAAGTGTCGCCTATGGCTAATTTTGGGTATGGTATTTTTTCACGATTTCGCAGGCACACACAATTTTAAAGTGACATTAAAGGCAACCCCCCCCCCATGCTAGTGTAACAACTTACCTTAAATGATGCCTCTTGATCATCTTCTTTCCTGTAGTTTTCAGGAGTCCCCCCAGTGCTGGTGCCGGTCTCTGATCCAGCGCTGACTCCTCTCTCTTCCTGACACTTCCTGTCCCACGGAGTCTGTGCAGGTACACGCTGCCTCCATTGACTTACCTTGTTGTCTCTCCTCGTCTCCCGGCCATAGATCTTAACAACCGCCCCATGATCCTTTATGGCCGCGCGAGAACCGTCAGTCTGGAGACACAGGTACGTTTTAACCCTTTTGTAAACTTTTGTTTTTATGTTTTTGCATATATCTATTGCTTGCTAGCAGTAGATATATGCATAAATACACGAGGGTTCAATAATCCTTTAAGGCTTGACATGTTTGGTGTCTATTTAGCTGATGTGACCCCATTTGTTATACTTTACCAAACAAAAAGGGTAATAATAAATGTTTATCACCTCAGTGGTGATTAAATACCACTAAAAGAAAGCTCTATCTGTCCCCAAAAAATGGTTTTAAAATAATTTCAGTACAGCGTTGCATGACTAAATAAATGTCAGTCAAAGTACCACAGTGCAGAATACTGAAAAATGGCCTGGCCAGGAGTGTGCTTTTCCACCCTGGTCTTCAAGTGGTTAACTACATACAGCATGGTGTTATAACATTAAGGCTAGGTTCACACCTAAGCGACTGAGCTGGTGGGCTGTTTTTGCGTGGTTGTCCCGCGTTTCTGTTTTCCTTTCAAAACCACGTGGTTGTTGTGCGGTTTTCAATGCATAGAGATGCCTATAGGACCCAAACCACGTGACAACCGCCCAAAAATAGCTCCTGCGCCTTTCTTGTTTGACAGGCGATTCCTACCTTGCGACAAGTCTCAAAGGTGTGAACAGCTTGAATGCAAATTAGGGATGCTCCGATACCGGTTTTTCGGTATCGAGTACAAATAACCATATTGTTTTTCCGGTACTCGCCGATACGAATACCAATACCCGAAGTCCTATTAAGGAAGCCAGGCGGCGTGTAATGACTCACCACCTGGCTTCCTGATTAGCTGGGAAGCCGTGCGGCGTGTAAAGACTCGCCACCCAGCTTCCCGATTAGCAGGGAAGCCGTCTCCATGATCCCTCGTCACAAGGTGATGAGAAAGAATGGAGCCAGTTTTCTGGCCAATCTGGCTAATGACACGTTACCCGGCTTCTGATTGGTCGAGAAACTGGCCAATCAGGAAGCCGGGCAATGCATCATTACACGGCTCTCGTCCATGTACGCATTGCACTCCTGACCGCTCATCTATCAGAATAACATGGGTGCATCGGTAGTCGACGGATGGTCAACGTCTCAGTGATACAAAACAATATGGACACCGACACTCCAACCGCAGGTAGAATGCGTCTATATATTGGCGTACATGCAAAAGAAGTAGCAAAGCACACTCAGTGCTATGCTACTTCTTTTGCATGTACGTCAATATATAGACCCATTCTACTTGCTGATGGAGTGCCGGTGTCCATATTCTTTTTTATTACACGGCTCCCGGCTTCCTGATTGGCCGGGAAGCCGACTCCATGCTCCTTCGTCACATGAAGCCGACATCCCGGCAAATCAGGAAGCCAGGCAGCGTGTCATGACTCGCTGCCCGGCTTCCTGATACAGGAAGCGCAAATATCGGGCCAGACATCGGAGCATTTGGGCGAGTACTAGTACTGGCCCAAATACTCGCCATCGATACTGATACTAGTATCGGTATTGGTGCATCCCTAATGCAAATCTCTGTTTTGTGCGATATCGCACGGCTAAATCCGCACGATAAATCGCCTAAGTGTGAACCAGCCTTACAGATACCCTAAGAAATTCAGTTCTTTTGCAGAACACTGCAGTAGTTTACATATTTTTGTAAGTAGAAACTACAAGTGATCTCCCGGGTACTTTAACTACATCCAGCATGGTGTTATAATATTCACAGACATGTTAATAGATGTCGTTCTTTTACAGAACACTGCAATAGTGTACATATCTTTCAGCAATCTCCCAGGAACTTTAACCTATGTAGTAAAAACAATGTAAAGCAAAGTGTAGCAGCAGCAGTGTAGACGCCGCAGCCCGGAGCCCCTTTGTGAAATAGGAGCTGTATGGAAAGCATGGCATTCGCAGGACAAAGAGAAAGTTATCTTCTACCGGTAGATGGCGCTGCTCTAGTCAACAGATCCAACGTGTCTAATAAGTGAAAACACTCATACATACATATACACACACACACACGCACACACACGCACACTCTCCCTCCTCTCCCTCCTCCTCCTCTGAGCGGAGCACGGGGCAGCCATTCCGAGGGCTGGGGAGAGACACATTCCCTGCCAGGTCCCTTTTCCCCTGTGAACAGGAGAAGAGTCCGGCAAGTTGAAGAGATCATCCAGAGGAGGGAGAATTAGTAAAAGAGAGAGGGGCGCAGCGAGCAGAGGCCAAACTACTGAGAAGAATCCCTTCGCTACTTTGTTACCTGACTCGCACTGTGTGTGTGTTGCCACACTTGCTACACTTGTGCCTGCTGGAGGATTGTGCTACTACATGTGTGTGCAAACCACGAACGGATGCGAAGGGGAAAGGTGTTGCTGTTTGGTGTGAAATATTTCTCTGGCTGGTTCTTGCATCAGTACATGTTTTCTGCTCTTGGACATCCTACAAGCCTGGAGTTTCCTTGATGTGTGCAGTGCAATGGATGTGAGGTTTTATCCACCACCAGCACAGGCGACTGCATCTCCTGACACCCCCTGTTTGGGACCATCCCCCTGTTTGGACCCCTACTATTGTAACAAGGTGATTTCATGTGTTCTTTTTTTTTTTTTTAATTCCCTTGCTTGCTGTCTCTCCGCCCTGCTTCTTTTCCTATGCATGCACACAAAGCCATGCACTGTATCCCTACTAACATCGCTCCCTTTGCTGCAGATAACACCCTACTCCGCTTTAATTGCTTGACCTGGACTTTGCACTTGATGTGCTGGATGATCTGTTTAGGGGGGCAATGGGGCACACACGCTCTCCCATAAAATTAGGATAACTCCAGATTATAGATCTTTTCCTTCTACCTAATGAGCTGAGTTTCTCTATTGTGACATTTGCTCTGTGATCTCATTGACAGCATCCACTTTACATTTACTGCCTGCAGATAACTACAAGCATTTATTAGATATTGCTGCTTCTGCTACTGCTGCTTCTGCTGCTGTTGTCCAGTTAGGTTTTGGTGAGTTTTATGTGATGCTGGAACAAAAAAAAAACCTGTACAGTCACCTAGAATGTTATCCTTTGTGAGATTGTTGTACTTTACTACTGTGCAAGTGAGCATGTGGCTTGTGATGCTGTCAATCAAAAGCATTATGTTTATTACAGATGAGGGGTACAAGTTTTGCAGGGATCTAGGGGGTGTTCGGTACTGGCTTGCGGTGCCTAATGCATTTAATGGTCTCCCACTGCAAAGTGTGTTAAACATCCTGAGCCAACAGTCATTATTTATTACTATTATTATATCCATTGGCCAGGATGGCCACCATGGGATTTAAGTTGCTCAGAGTTTTGGAAGATTTCTTGACTGTGATCATATTGCTCTTTCTCTGTACAGTGGCAGCAGGAGAAGCAATGCATGAATTACACTCTGCTGCACTGATGTGATGAGGTTTGTGTGCATGAATAAAAATAGCTTGTTTAGCACAAAACAATTACATGACAAGGGCAGCTTTCCAGACTTACAACTGTGCCAGGGAAAGTGCTGTGTGGGACTTGCTAGTGCCTCACATTAAAAGTTTGGCATTGTTTGCTCTACAGTGGACTTGCTACTGTTCACTTGTTAACAGTTGTAATTAATGTCAATTAGGCAAGCATTTATTTTAACTTCATTTGAAATGACCAGTCATGTGCATCCCTTCTCCACTGCCTTATTATATTTAGCATGCAAAGTGTAGTGGCAATAGAATAATATTTGTACATCAATAACAGCTTACGTTTTGCATCAGATAACTTATGTATGAACACTGATAACGTGCAACGTTTAAATCATATACAGTAGCTGAACCTGCACAATGTATTTGTAGTAGTTGGCATCTACTGAACTGTACCTTTTTATTTAAGCATGATACATTAAGCATGGCCTGTGTCTGTTACCTGCATAGTAAATGCAACATATCTCTGTAAGCCTTTACGTTTACTACATAGTGCCTAAAGCATCTAAATGCTTTCCACTTTCAAAGGATTTGCTGAAATAACCTTACTAATCAAGGTTCTGTTAGTGCAAATGATTGTTGCAGCACACAGAGGTTAGCTGTTTTCATAACACACGTTAAATGAGAATACATCAGGAGACAGTGCAGGGTGCATTATGCTACATTTCAGTCTGGCAATGAGAAATATTTTTCATTTGTTTAGAAAATAGGCTTCTGTTATAATTGCTTTCATCACAAATGTACTTAAATGTAACAATATCCCAGTAATGTAATTGAGTTCAGTGACCTTACAGGCTGTAACAAGATATGTCATCAACATTAGAAAAGTCACTAATTACTATACCTCCAACACAGCACTTCAAGGAGAGCAGTTACATCATATCTGTAATTACAATCATTTCTTACATGCACCAGAAAACGGATTCAGCTTTATGTTTTAATGTCTCCGCTAGATTCCTACTCCATTAATGCAGTAGGTTATATGAAGAGGCTTTTGCCCTTGAGTAACAATTCATTTGTAGACATAGATCAGAAATGCTGGGACTGAAAAGCACTACACTGCATTAAATACAAAGCATAAACAGTTGGACTACATCAGGAATGGATTTTATTTTGTTGTATTGTGTTTAGTTTACCGTTTTCAGTGTTGTTGTTTTTTTATGTTGCTTTGTATACAGCTGGTTATTAATATTGGGCGTTTTTTATTTTGAAACGTTTGTATTTGGAGTACATTATGCTGTAAAAGAAAATGTTTTTCTATATATAGAAATAAAATGTGCTGACATTCACTGGGGATAGTTTCTAGCTTGTTATAACCCTTTTTCATGCACATTGTTTGTGATGACCTCAATCTTGCTGTGCTCTGCATTACTCCTGCTTAAGCTTCTAGTAATTATTAAGCAAATGAAAGTCAGATTATTGCAGTTGTGCAGTGAATGTGCTGGTACTGGTTGGTTAGTGTTTCAAAGAGCAGGAGATGTGATAGCAACGTGGACAAACTCATTGAGACGCCTATCTTGTAATGCTTGTAGCTTGAGGGATAGCTACCTATGAGACATTTGTCCAGCTATCAAATAGCCGCCACTAATCAATAAATGGCTTCTTTAAATATTACGTTGTGCAGCCGAAGCTAACAGTACATCTAAAACGGGAATTGACAAAGGCAAGAGACAAATTTAGATAGATGCCACTGTTATGGTGAAACATATTTGATCTAGCTAGATTGCTCTTGGCTCTTTTACCATATATAATGAGTGTGATGTGCAAGACTTTGGTACACTGTATTTGTGCAGTGTTGTTCTGTATTATGAAACATCTACTACCATAAAAATGATAGCAGTATAATGATATTTTGACACTTCTAGCAGATGTTAGTCTCTCCGATGAGAGGGAGCCTGACCCCTGCTATCAGTAGGAGAGAAAATAATGGTCTACACCGCTCCCTATGGTGAGCCTCAAAGAAATGTACACTAGATTTCGTGAGCTAAGCTCCTTCAGGAGAAAATGAAGTCTACAGCCCCTTCACTTTCGACTCATACAGATATTTTACCTCTCAGGGTAATGAAAGCATGTGGAGATGTGTTTAAAGATTACATTGCCAGAAGAGCTTGCCCCTACAAGTTGGCATTTACACTTATTGTTAAGCAACATATGCAATTATTACATATTCATCTCTTATAAGTGATCATGCTTACTGTCCTGGCTGCACTGCATCTTGGTATTAGAGATTGTATTACATTCTAAGCTCTGGGGTTTTTTTTGTTGTTATTTTAAGGCTTCCATCACAGCTTACAATGTTTTAGATATTTTTTCCATATCTTTCCAAAACATGCCATTATGCTGTCAGAGATGACTTGTATTTAAGATATTACCTTTCATAGATGAATGGACTGAATGCGCAAACATAAAATCGTCGAACGTTTCTGCTCTTCACTTTCACTGCATTAATGGCTATGTATGGTTACAAAGAGTCATTATTTTCAATTGCCCACAAATAACTGTTTTTTTTAAATCTGTTCATGGAATTTTCAATTTAATAAACTGCTATTGATTCAGTGGTATGTGGAATTGGGCAAATTAGGTGCCACAGGTTTTCTTTTCTTGAAGTTCATTGAAATGTATTTTTGCTTTTTGAAAGTATCTCTAAATATTGGGGTTTGAACAATGCAGGGGCTATTTAACCTGTAGGTTCTCACACACTATCTAGATTGGCAACCACTTGTATGTTTAGCTGCCGGAAATTGTTTGGAGATTGTTGCAGATTGTCATAAGACGCATTGGGAAGAGTTAGAACAAACTATAGGAAAAATATTCCAGTCTGCGAAGACCATTAAACATTTCTGTGATGCAGTTAAATTTTGAAATGATGACAATGTACAAGATCCACATGATGTACAAAAATTGAATCACTCTCAGGAGATTCAATAATGAAGGTGTTCAATTGAAAATCAGTTGTGTAGCCTAAGGCCAGCAATAGACAGCAGACTTGATAGGCAGGTACATTATAAATCTTAGCCCACAAAGCAAGTTCTGCTACTCTCATTGCCATTACATGTCATAGTCAAAGAAAAAGTTCACACAACAAATAATACATTTTGTATAGAACTGAAGCATCTTATTACATGATTAATAAATGAGGCTACACTGGGCTTACAGATAGGGTGGATCTAGCACCATGGCATACATAAACCTTTATATTTACTGTATCACATTTGAGATAATCGAGAAGAAAGGGAATTCATAAGATGCCAGGAAAAGTGAAAGCCGTTATGTAGGTAGGCCAGGTCCACTGAATAACATTTTTTTACATGCACAAATCTCATGATGACTGAAACATACCTTGAACTGATTATCAGCTACAGCTCTTTTTTTTAACATGCTTGCAGAATTGTTGAGCACATGTAATTGTTGGAAGTGCTAATTATTACTGGCAGATATGTTCAATGTGTCAGGAGGCTTCTGTGTTCCCATGGAAAAAGGAATCATTCTGACGCCAAAAGGTGCCTGGTAGCCTGGTAGAAAAGTTCCATGATCACTTAAAAGGTGTATATATTTCTACATCCCATCATTTGCCCTGCTAGGATGAGCCTGAGGTTGAATGAAGATGGACAGATATCACTCTGAGAACTACAGATGGGGAGACATATACCCATCCTCTCACTTGCTGGGACTTTCCAATGATTTTAGTCAAATTCAGCCAGTGGGCAGCAGCAGTGCACATTTGCAACAGATTAAAGTTTCTGGCTATACCAAAAAACCCAGCAAATTCTGCAATTAGAAGTGGTCATTATCATTTCTTATGTATACGCCTAAATGGACCATTTCTCCCATTGGATTCTCAGCTGAGGCAGGAATCAGGTCGATTATGGCCAGTGCAAGATCTGTTTTAAGGATAGTAAAGCGGAACAAACAATGAAAGAAATCTGACCCAGTTTTACAAAATTTCAGTGAAAACGTTATAGCTTATTATACTGATATAGGTAGGAAATGGAGGTTCAGCACAGGTGCAGTCTTCAGCTTCTTCTCATATGCTTATTTGCCAAGTGTGAAATGAGTACACCTCATTACCCTATGAACAATAGTTTGTTAAATAAAATAAGTTAA